TTCAAAACATCGAAAAAAGGCATAAAAATTGTCTGTCGTTCATATGAAATTTGGCAAAAAAGTAAGAAAATTTGCTTAAAAATTAAGAGAAATTCATACTTTTCGGGGAAGTGATTAAAGAATTTCATTTGCTTAACATTATAATGCATGAAGATCATCATTCAGATTATATCTTAAACTATAGATTGCAGGTCCTTCTATCCAAATCACATATCAAAACCAAAATTTCCTCGGAACGACAGGCTGCTTTTATGAATGTTTTGTAATGTTGTCCAAAAATGATTGATTTTAAAATGATTTTGTCTTATACAATATTAGAGAAAAAGACGTCCTTCTCTCTCCGCTTTTTATTGGTGAAAGCCGCAAATTTCTCACTGTTGACGTTCTTGAGTTATTGAGAAAACAGTGGATGGCACTATATTTTGAAACGCACAATAGTTGTACAATCATTTAATCTCATTAAGAATTTTATTCGTCAAAATTTTGAAGTCAAAACTTTCACATGGCCTGAAGTAGATCACAGATTTTTGTTGAGAAATCCATCTCAAGAACTACGGTCCGGAAAACCAAACCATTCTAGACTTTTCTATTATTCATTAAATAAAAATCGTCTCGATTGAAAAGTAACTTTATACTTGGAGAAGTTTTCTCGTTAGCAACATCTTGTCACAGACACGTTAGAAGTGGTTCATGACAAAACGTATATAAATAATTTCTCGTTATAATATATGAACTACTTTTTTAATGCATTTCTAGAGAGTTTAGTAAAAGGAAGGTGAAGAACTATGTCGCAAAATAAATTGAATAAAATAATCTTTCTGTGATTAGAAAAAGCATGTTTCACATTTTATTTCCATAGGGATTTCGCTGACAGCTTTTTTTTCAAGGATTTATTCTCTATAAAAATCAAAAGTATCATAACTTTCTATGAGAAGTCAAATAATTAAAAATTAAATGAATGTGGATGGTAAAAAAAACTCAGTTGAATTAAAGAACTGAGATTATCGAGTGCACTGGTTATAATGACCGTTTATTTGAAACAAGAGGTGATTAATAGTATCAGCAAGGAGTCGATGAGTAATACGAACTTATACAATTGATATCGAAGAGTCATATACCAAGCCAATGTATTCTCTATCTGTTGAACTTTGTAATCTAATTGATTACAACTGAAACTGTAAAATTGAGAAGAAAATTATGAATATTTTATTTATTTATTTTTTACCAATATATTTAAACATAGTTTTTAATTAACTGAAAGACTTACCGAATTTTCTTATACAGAAAAATCATCGATTCCAACCAAAAAAAAAACAATAAAGTCTAATAGTTCGTAAAAAAAATGTCATTTTTCAAGCATTTATATCTCCTATATTTTTATTCATGAAATTCTGCTGTTTTGTTAAAAAAAACTCGAAATAAGAATTTTCTTTTCTCAAATCTTGAATTCAAATATTTCATGTCTCAAATAGCATAACAAAAAATCTAAATATTAACTTTCATATTGAATTATTTTATAAATTTTTTATAGACATTATCATCAAATGAGTGGTGAACTTGCTCTTCGTCTTATTCGAGCTATTCGTACCGGTACTGAATCAACAGTAATTAATGATTTATTTCAAACTAATATCAATAATCAATCCACCTCTTCAACAATATCAACTAATTCTTCAAATTCAAAAAATACAACAGTAGCCGATGAAATTGATATTGTTCCTTATAAATGTACATGTCCTTATTCAACTAGTTCAAATGATGGAAACTCACATATGTTAGAAAATCATTTGAAAAAATTAACAAAATTTGTTAAAAATATTCCATGTGATCGTCCTTGTCCAGTTAATCTTTATAGACATCTTCGAAATTATCATAAAGTTGATTTACAACATGCCAAAGATATAACACGAACAATAATGTTATGTAAAACAGTAAAACCTGATGTTTTAAAACAAGGAAATGTAAATGAAGTTGCAACATCAGTTAAAAAACGGATGAAATTACCAGTAAGAATGATAAAAAAAGAATTCTATGAGAACGAGAAAAATATGATTGATGTCCTAGAAGCTAATCAACATCTGGCACATAATTTCATAGTCACAGTGAGGTTTCCAAAATTTTCTTTTAGATGAAAACGTTTACCATTTAGTTTCTTCGATAAATAACAACAAAAAAAGAGAAATCATCTCAAATTCCACAAAAAAGCAAGTGGATTAGGATTTACTTGATATCTTTATGCTTCTAATATCCCATCAATTTTACTAAGTATACGTTTGATTATTGCTGACGACGCTCGAATGGAACGTAGTGTTGCTTTCAAATATCATAATTATGAATATATACATCAATGCTTTTTCCGTCACGATAATACATGTTCGCTTTTTTGATAATTCATTTTTCTCTCTATGCATACAGTTACTTTATCACATGCTTAATCATCATCCTTAGATGAATTTTCCTTAAAAACGAATTCATGCAGTAAAACAAAATATCGCTTTTCATTTCTGTGACCTATTCTCAAATATAATAATATGATCGAACTGGTTTTTAGTCCTATGCTTTTATATAAATAGCAGTTTGAAAAAATAAAAGTATTGTAAAACGTCGAGATCTCATTACATCGGGACTGGACTCGGTTGTCGAACATTAGATAAAATTACGATTAATTTCTTTTATTGTTTAGAAATCGACAAATGATCATGAAACAACAATACCTTTAGGTAAATTTTATTTTGAAAAAAAAAGATTGCATCAATTTTATTTTTGTTTAGTTCATGTGGATTTGAATAGTGCAAAATCTGAAGGAAAAAGTATGAAATAATTTCTTAGAATTGTTTTATTCTATATTTTGGAAGTTTAGATGAATCAATTGATTTCTTAATTGGAAACGAAAATCCTGATGAATGGGTAACGATATTATTTTTAAAAGAAATTTTTTTACATAAAGTTTGTTTTTCTTTTAGGATCCTTCAATGATTTATGATAGTGAATCACTTTTTCTTTCATTTGACGAAGAAAGAATATGTGATAATGGCATCGAAGAAAGCATATAAACTGAATATATGTGTGCCACGTTTATTTTTTTTTCTAAGCTTTATGAACAGTCTCTATGAGACGTGTGGTTCTAATCAGTTTTGCATATATTTTTCGATTTTCTAATCAATTGAACATGTTATTTTCCTTTTCGTATGCTTAATTCTAAAAATGCAAAAAAAAAAATTAACGATCTTTGTTTTTTGTTTGTTTTTATTTAACTAACCGTAATTAGCACGTTGAATACCGTTTTGATCTAAACAAAAAAATTAGAAGATACAATAAGAAATGAATGACTTAACTTACATGCTTCAATACGTGATGTGAATTCTTTTTTAAATTCATCTGTAAGCTTTTTTTCATAAGTTATCTCTTCAGTGATTCCTTCCATATCTAAACGAAAGAGAGAGTTGTTTTTGTCAAAGTAAAAAATTAAAAATATTTACAAAGCTGTAACTGAGTGATTGTTAAGGTTTTTGGATCAACACAACCGATAGATTCTTCAAGATATGAAGAGATTTTTAAAAAAAAGTTATGATTGGTGCTACTCACCATCGTCAATAGACTTTAAATTAGGAAGAAAAGTTGTGTGAGATATATTTTGTGGATTGACAGAATTAATTTTCATTGCTAAACGAAAACATACTCAGAGTTAAGTTTCACCCGGCTCGGACCGATTGAAATGTTTTTTACAATGAATAAAGTAGAAGTAAGATTACCAATAACGAAGAATTATCATGTTTTACATTTTAATTCTACAGTGATTACGCTAACAGTGTTCGAATACTAATCAGATTAATATCAGATGAGAGTTATCAGCTAATGAGAGAACCTCTTCATATGCTCCTCTTCTATTTCAATAATTTTTTTGGTCAAGGGTCTATATCTTGAAAGTCTCCTATCTCGAAGAGACCTTATTCAAAACTTCTGAATTTTTATATGGAAGTTATTCTAGTTGAGCTATCTATATGCGCAGAGCTTTACATCAAAATTCGACAAGACAAGTTTTTCGAAAATGCAGAGTCTCTAGTAAATAAACATATTAACAATTCGATAGCTTAGTCAAATCTCAATAGGAACTCAAATTCTTTAACAACATAGAGTATCTATAGGCAAAAAGTCATTGAAATCGGAAGAGGATATCTGAATAGATCTCCTCATATGTATGCTGTGCTCATGTGGGAAATATCACAACTGTAATCTTCTGTTTGAATTCACATTGGACTCACAAGGAGATCTCGATCAAACTAGAAAAATTCCAAACGGTTTGTGCCCGTGGGTCTCTGGAATCAAGCTATAACCGGTTTACTTAATAGTCTGCAGTTTTTCTCATAGGTAGGTCTAAAGATCTTTAGAACAGCCTGAAAGTTTTAGCCGAAAAGAATTTTCATTTATCGCGATATTGAATTTTCAACAAATAGTCGACTGCCGCAGGTATGTCACAAAAATCGAGTTTACTTAGAAATTCAATATCTTGATAAAGGAATCTTTTTTTAAGCCAAAACTTTAACGATATTTCAAGACTCATTAGATCTACTTCTGAGTAAAAGAGCAGGCTATTAAGTAAACCGGTCATAACGTTGTTCCATAGGTCCACAGGTACCAATTCTTTTGAACCTTTGCTACATGTATCGAGACTTCCTTGTGGACTCAATATGGGATCAAACGACGAATTACAATTAAGATAGCCGTCCTCATTAGGACGAAGCTTTTTTGTATATGATTTTTTTTTCGTTGAGAAAAACATTTTCCTCAATTTTATAGAATAAATAATAGTGTTAGAAGAGTCGTGAATTTATATCGCCCTCTGAAAAGTAATGGAGATAGATGTTTCAAAATTCTGTTGCTGTCATACATATATTCCTTGATAATGACTGTGGCATATTACAATGGGTTTCGATCTCAGACAGTGTAAGTTCTTTTATATACTCTTTTTTTTTCTAGTGTACCATCAGTCTGAAACACTCGAATATTATTGATTCCCTTATTTGAAATTATATCAGATCTCTACTCAGAAATAGATCTCACACGGCGCTAAACTTATCCGCGACCAGTTTTTGCATGAAGATTAACTATTATATTTAAATTTCCACAGTCGAAATAGCAAATAAATGATACAAAAAATTTCTTCTAACTTTCTCTTAAAACATAGAATCATGAAAATTCTAACACTTAGAAAATATTTACTTTCTTGTGCCAATAATACTCCTTGACTATCTAGAAAAATAAAGTACTTTTAAAAAACAGGATTCTATAGAATCTATCATACAAGCATTAATACGTGCATTTGAATCATTCTTGATTCTTTGAAAATTAGTTTTTTCTATATCAATTACTAATGAAACAAGAATGAGTTCATATTTCATTTAAAAATTTTCTCACATTGAAGCATTTCTTTTTTATATTTATTTAATTGTTCAATACTAAGTGATTTTGGATCAACACAAAAAAAATCATCTAAAGAGGAAAAAGAAAATTTTTCTCGATAAATTTTTCCTTTTCATGAATATACCTCGATCTTCCATTAGAATAGGAAATGATTTTGGTACTTGAAATCGAAAATTTGAATAAAAAGAAAATAAGAAATAATATCTTACAAGATGATGATAGCACAGCGTTTGAATTCGATGGAATTTGTGGAAAAAAAAGTCGAATATGAGGTTGAAGGACAGGTAATAAAAGTATAGGTCCTGGTTGTAGAGGAAACATAATGATAAAATGAAAGATAATAGACAAAAAAGAATTTCTTTGCTTAGTAACGAAAAACGAAAAAGATAGAAATAATTTTCTTTTCTTTTTTAGATGGAACAATTTATTGAAAGACTTGATACTCTTCTTGATAATGATCCATTTAGTGATATTGATTGGAATTCATTATCACATAATGATTGTGAAGTTAGTTAATCACATTCAGTCGATTTCTTGTTATAAAATCTTTACTGTTTTTTCCTATTTATAGCTATTAGAAAAATATCGTTTAAAATATATTGAAGAACGAAGACGACTACGAGAAGAGAGAAAAACAAAAACTGTAATTTAAATAAAAGGACTTTGTCGGGTTTAGGTGACCAATCTTGAAACAGAATACCATATATGTAGTTTTATAGAAAAATTTGTAGAACATCGAATGACAAATAAGAGATCAAGTTTTCATATTTCGATGTGTTGAGAGGTCATATACTGGTTATAATTCTTGATAAATATATATAATACTCATTCACATTGTGGTCCCTAAGATTACTTTATGCAAACCTTGTTTCTAAACCCAATTCGATATAGTTATAGGTGCTATTCAATTTTCTATACTCAATAGTTTTAATTGTTGCTTTCTTGACACTTAAAAATGGCCCCTTCTTTTAGATTTACGTTATATTTTGACTAGATTTTGCACATAACTTCTTTCGGAACATCAGGAACTCATTAACAACTTGCATGATTGTGCCTACAATAGTGTATTTTGCTATATAAAGTGGGTGGTATATTGAGTATAGTCTAACAATGCTCGACAGTCGTATTAGAAATTTTTATATAGCATTAAACAACACATCATCCTTGTTGAGCTAATATAAATAGCTGCTTTATAAATGAGAAAAGATTTTTTAACCTCCAGATCCCTGGAGGGAATACAGAGATATGGAAAAACTTATTTTTGAAATGAAGATGAGATATTTACAGGTTCTTGTAGAGCTTCATACAAGGATCAAATCAGGATACTAGAAATAAAAATTTGAAAAAATTATAATAAAAATAGCAGACCTCCTTCTTGCAGCACTATACCCGCTTCCCGTCCAGAGGTGTGAAAGTCAAAAAACTTTTTCCCGTTTATAAAGCAGTTACTTGTATCAGCTCATCAGGAATGCTATGCTGATTACTAGTATATATAATTTTTTAATACGGTTGTTGAGTTTTGTTGAAATATTGCCAATATACTGGCTCTTTCATATAGCAACATAGGCTACTCGAGGGTCAATCTTGCAAGTTCACAATGAGTCTCTGATATTCCAAAAGATATTATCTGCGAAAGAGCTTGATAGTACGAAATTGTCAAGAAAGTTTTACCTTGGTATTCATTTATTATGTGACACAGAATTGAACACAGTTGAACATAATATAGTCAAGAAATAACCTAGACCTAACAAAAGGAACCACTTTTAGGTATGAAAAATGTAGCGATGAAACCATTGATTACAGAAAATTGATGAGCATCTATAAATGTATCGAATACAGATTAGAAACATCATTTGCATAAGCTGATCTTAGGGACCACACGCAGTGTACAAGTACTATGCATATTTATGAAGTATCATAACCAGTATATGAATCGTTAGCAGATCAAAATTTGAAGAATACTTGATTTCTTATATACCACTCGATGTACCACAAATTGTTCAATAAAACCACATATATGAAATCATGTTTTAAGATAGGTTACTAAATCCGGCAAGATCCTTTCATTTGTCTTAAATTCTTTTTGTTTTTAGTTTCAAGAAATCATGGAAGATCTTCTTCAAGCATTATCAGATAAACCTGATATCTCATCATTCTATCGTACACTTGATGATCCACTATTAACAACAGTAAATAAATTATCTTCTCATATTATTGAACTTTCTTTGTTTTCTTTTTAATTGAAGAATTCTATGAATAAAGATGTTCATACAATAGAATTAGATACTTCCGATGATGAACAAGATGATCTCGAACATTGTACAACATGGATTGATCCAAGTAAGAGCATTGGCCGATCTGCAACTAGTGATAAACTTAAGACGTCAACTTATGTTGTTTATCCTTTAACAAAATCTCCATCCATTCCTGAAGCATCAAGAAAAACTCATCGCTATACAGATGAACCTCGTCGAAATACTTACACACTTCAAAATTCATCATCATCTGATGATAATGACAATGATAATGAAAAACAATTAATAAATACAAAACAAGAATATCTTCGTCTTAATAGTCAAGGTTTTGATCCACAACAACAACAGCAAGAAAATCTTTTTAATAATGTTAAAGATGCACGATCAACATTTTCAGTTCCACAAAAACGTTTTCGATTTACCCGTCAAGTAAGAAAAAGAAATCAATTCAAATCACCGTCATTGTATTTTTCTTTGCAGGAAGCACAAAATATTTTGCATAAAAAACTAGGAGCTTTTATCAAAGGACATCTTACAAGACAATTATTTCGTACAGAACATGTTAAGAGATTAATTCAAACATTAAATGTAAATTTTTCTAAACAGAAATATTTATTTATTGTTGTTTGTTTTTTCTTGATAAAGGATACAAGAAAATTTGCCGTTGATTTTCAAACACAATGTTTACAAACGAAAACTAGACTTGATCCAGATGATATTAATGTAATCGATCAATTAATTAAACAAGTAAATCAAATATAAATCTATAAAAATTATTGAATTAATTAATTTAATTTAGGTTGAATCCGTATTAGATGAAATTCATGATATATTTGGACAGTATTCATCTGCTCGTCAAATATCAATGATTATTCGTCATGAACAATCACAAAAAATGCGAACTATAAGAGTTTGTTTTTATTCAAACTTTTAAATCAAAACAAAAAAAGATAATTTTTTTTTGCAGACAAATCAACGTATAGCAAAAGATTTTTCTATAGAACGACCAATTATTGATCCTGTACTAACTTCAACTGTAAGAAATGATAATTTACCACGACAATCAGAATATCAGTTTGTTTAATTATTACTTTCTTTATAAATCTTTATCTTTTTGTTTCATTTATTTAAGAAGACCGGGAAATATTCGTCGTCATGTCACAGCGGTAACTAATCGTTCTGCTCAATCGACAATAAATACTCAAGCTCGTCCATTGAAAAAGGCTACATCTTTACAAAGGAAACCTCGTCCATTAAATTCAAATAATAATGAATCGACATCAAGTAAATCAATGATGTTTCTTTTCTTATTTTTTTTATTTTTTTTTCGCCTTTCTTGATTTAGATCGTCCTCGTTCAACTTCTACCACTAATAATAATAATAATAATAATATATTTCGTCCTCCTCTACGCCTTGCGCCAGCCAGTCCTCTATTCAGAAATCGTTTAAAATAAATGTATGTCAAACAGACAATTTTATGCTACATGTGTGCAATAGTTGCTCTGAATAACATCAAACTGCCCGTTGTATGTATACATATATATATATATGTGCATGTTCGCTGCATATCATCTCAGAATGAAAGCATGCACGGTTACTGTTTCACTCATCGCATCATAATGAACTGTCCTCGATGGCATCAGCTACAGCATTTTAGCAAGAATAACAAAAAAAAGAACATCAGCACCAAACGTTTTGATTGTCAACAAAAAAAACTCGAATGCACAACTAATTTTATATTTATTATATGTCCTAGAAAAAAAAGGTCGATAAGAACAAATGACACTACTTCCCACACACGATACGATTGATCTTTTTCATCCTTGGTATATATGTATGCACACTACTTGTTGGTCATAAAGCAACAAAGTCACTTGATTCATGTTAAGAACCATGGATTGAGTTGAAACTATATAATGATGTAACTAAGAGTGACGAATTTTGGTTTAAGGTGATGTAGTAGAAAACTTAAACGATCAAATTTCACGCATGGTACAAGGTTTAGAAGTGTATATATGCATGCAATTCAAAGGTCAATCATCATGTTATCATTATATATAGCATAAAAGAAATCAGAAAAAAAGCGACCAGTATTCATTGCTCTATAATCTATAATAATTAAGGCAAACTATTGAACCATTAACTTTCTTTTTCTTTGCTTGTTGTACCTTCACAATTATGTTTTTCTATAGAGAAAAAAGAAGGTGTCAAAAGTTTTGTTTCTTTATTGACTTCAATGATAGAAAAATGACAAAAACAAAAGACATCTGCCAAGGTTGATAATCAATCATATTTTGTCTTTAAGTGAATATCGTTGTTTTTTTATTCATCTTTTTTTTTTTCGCATTCATCTAGTGAGTAATGCCATTAGCCAACAGTTGATTTTCTCTTCACAAATACATCAAGCAAACGAGAGAGAGAGAGAGAGAGAGAGAGAGAGAGAGAGAGAGAGTGAGAGTGAGAGAATGAGAGAAAGAAAGCGAAAAGAAGATGAGAAAGAGAAAACGAGCCAGTTGCTCTGCTTGTCATAATCATCTTTTTTTTTCTCTTTGCCTCTCTCTTCGTTCATTCTCATTCATTCAATCATTTCTTCTAGTTAATATTAAAAAAATGATTAATATGCAGCGATTAGTTAATAGATAGTTTATTACTCTTATTTTTATTCAACAATGATAACTATTATTATTTTAATTTAATTATGAATTCAACAATAAATTACTTTTTAGGTAAAGTTTTCTTCATTATTTTGTTCCTCCCCAGTTCATATTCAATAGATAAGATAATAAATGAGTCTGTCGATGTCTATAGCGATAATGAAGGCTCTTACTTTTCGACACATTTCTATTCTTCCTGTGATAACTAGACATCTGTACAATTCATCAATGTCTCTGTTAGTGAGAAGATGAGCAACAAACTAATTGTGATAGATGACTATATTGTCTTTGTTATCCTGTCGCATAGAAGTTCGAACTTAATTAATCCATATCATTTTGTAAAGAATAGAGTTGAGTTCAATACATGTCGTATTCTCATACAAAAGGTTAATTCTATGTGAATAAAAAAAACAAAAAATGCCACGAATATTTTGTTTGTACAATTGACCCTTCGTTTACATAGAGTCTTGTCATCATTAGCCATTATTATATGCAATGCTGAGTAGAATCAGTAAACGTGAGCGGATCAATTTTATCTCTTTTATCCATTGTTTATTCTCTATGTTTTAGTAACCCAACTAATGATAATGATTCATGGATTGATAGCAGCTGTTATTTCAAATAAATTTCCACAAATATTAACTCAAACATATAATCAAACATTGAATATATCTGATACAGCTATTTTAACATGTTATGTGAAAAATTTAGGTAATCATCATGTAACATGGCTTAAATATGATTCAAATACATTAACATATTTACCATTAACTGTTGGCGAACAAGTATTTTATTCTGATACACGTTATTTTGTATCATCATATTCAACATCATTAGATAAATCATATTGGAATTTAGAAATTTCAAATGTTAAATTATCTGATGAAGGTATATATGAATGTAAAATATCAAATCGTCGTGGTAGTGTATCAATACAAATTTATTTACAAATACAAATACCAATGACAATAAAACCTTCACGTTTATATGTCGAACCAGGTTCATCTGTTGAATTAGATTGTACGATATATAATATAAATACATCATCAATAACATGGCATTTTTCAAGTTTAAATCATACACATAAATATAATATTTATCATTATGATATATATGAAAAATATCATAATGAAAAAAATATTTCTAAATCACAATTAATTATACGTCATGCACAACCACATCATTCTGGTTTATGGACATGTACATATAAAAGACAACGAAGAAGTGCAAAAATTTTTGTTGAAAAAGGTTTGTTGAGAAAAACCAGATAAGCAGAATGTCAAGATACATCGTTTCTCTTTTCTTTTTCATTAATACATCAAGGACATACATTCTCAAATATTCTTTTGTCTGGTTTTTTTTCTAGGTGCATTACAACACCATTATCATCAACAGCAACGTCTTGTATCAAATAATCGTTCTTCTTTTTCTATTCAATGTACCATGAGTTTGATCTTATTTGCACTTCTCCTTGGTCATCATATGACCCATAGAATATGACACATACACATATTCCCAAATCAGCAATGAACAGTATACATCAACAGTCAGATCAATCGACATATATATATATATATGTGTGTGCGTGTATATGTGTGGTGTATGCATATCTAACAACTCTTATTATGTTTTTTCTTCTGCTTTTTTTCTTCGATAAAACGATCGACAACTAATAGACTTTTATATGCGATAACAATTAATGAAAGAAGTTGTCGAGACACTAGTCGTGCGTAGTTGTAGTCAATTATCGCTACAGGGTGCCTTTTTTTCTTTCTATGCCTGAAGTAGAAAATATATCAGGTAAAATGGATTTCTATTTAAATATAAATACTTATTTATCTTAATTAAAATAAAAGTACATTAATAAACAAAGATTTGTTTAAATCGACTTGTTCAGTGATACTTAAGAATTTTGTTTTGTGTTCTTTTATGATGATGATGTAATCATATACTTAGATTATCGTGTAAATTCACTCATCGATTTGTGAGATTTAAACTTATATTTGCACAGATGTACGAATGTAGTACGTGTGTTAATTGTTCATACATCGAAATAATAGAATGAACGAAATGAAGGATATATAGATAACAATGTCAATAAAAAGAAAAAGGGAAAAATTGATGTCAAAATGGGATTTATTTTGCAGATGTTTCAAAGATTTTGTTTCACTGTATTTATGTTTATCTTTCGGATAAAGAAAAAAATTAATTTTCATATTGTCCTATTGAATCATTTCAATGGATAACATCTGTTTCTTAAAATTTAAAAACATTTAATACCATCTCTTAAATATGAAACTAATTGATAATTCTATATTTACATTGATAAGTTCGTCTTTTTCCTTTCTCCACAATAATCATTTTATAAAATGTACAATAATATAACTATGAATTGATTTACAGTAAGCGTATTTATAGGAATTTTTTATCATATTAATTTTTCTTTTGTAGCAATCCTTGATTAAATTAACTTTATTTCAATTTTAAAATGTAAATTTAATTAGACGTCAAAGGTTAGCTTTTGCTTCAACAACTAATAATGATAAAACAAAGAAATTATTTGATTGTATTCAAGATATTCGTTATGCTATAATGTAAAGTATGATTAATTTTAATAATAAATTTATTTCTATGAAAATATTTTAGTAGAATAATTGAATCAAATCAAAGTCTTCGTTCAAGTCCAATGGCAAGTCGAAAGTTGGGACAGTACACAATGGTTTTCTACTAAACGAACTTCTCCAAAAGTTAAAGAAGTTAAACAAAATCTTGATCAAGTTAATATATCTTATTCAGATCCAAATTAAATGTCATTTGTTTCTGTTAGTGGTAAACCTGAATTTGTTGATGATAAAGCTAAATTACAAGAACTTTGGTTATCTTATTTAAAAGTATTTTTCCTCGAGGATTAGATGATCCAGATTTAATATTAATGAAAGTAACAGTTAATTATGGTGACTATTGGGATTCACCAAACAGTAAAATAGTGCAATTATATGCAATAGCTGAAGCAGTAGCAACTAAAAATCCTAAAGCTCTAGGTAAAAATGAAAAAATTCATTTTCAAAAGTAAAATTAATATTGTTTATTTTTTTTAATCTCGCTGTATTTTTTGTTATTTAAACAACCTAATGACAATAAAGATTGATAGCAGTATGTGATAACACTGTATAATTAATTTGAAATCAGCTGTTTGAAAAAAACATGAATACTGACGAAACAAGTAAATCATTTATGGTTACAACAAGTCCATCATCTGAAATAAAACATATGAATATCGAAGATTTAAAAACAAGTTTTATGGGTAAAACATCAGAATATATAAATACTATGTTAAATACTGTGCTTGATGATCCCGTATTACTTCGTGTAGCTATCAGGTGTTTTTAAAGACAATTTATTGAAAATTCAAGAAAACAAGAATTTCTTCACATTTTCTAGACGCTGTCGCCTTGATTGTGCAGAAGCTGAACGTCGTATAAATAAATTAAAAGACGATAATAAGGAATATGTTCCTAAAAATGAATATCTTGCTCTTCAACAAACATATGATGAACTAGTTAAAGCATCAGAACAATTGAAACAAAATTTTCGTAATGCTAAAGTTGAATATAAGTATGCATTTAGTTACGAAAAAAAAGCAATAACAATAATTTTATTTTGTTTAAATAATAGTGCATTGAAAGAAGCACTTGAATATTTAATAAAAGATCGAGATAAATATTTTACATTATGTGAAACTTATCGTGCTACTTTAACTCCAAGGTATATAAAATTAAAAAATAATATATTAAAAGCAATAATACATATTTAGACCAAAATGGGAACGATGTGCATCAATAATTGAAGGTGGAATAGAACGTTGGAATGAATTATCTATTGGAAAAACAAGTAATGAACTTGTAGATATTTTACTTAATGAAATTATTGGTGGCAATGATATTGTATATGAAAAAAATTTTCTTTTTATTCTAAAAATTTGTTTTCCTTGAATATATATATATATAGTATAATAATGTTGTAAATTTTATTGGTCTTGGTCTTGATCCAACAGTACCAAAATTTCTTCAAACAACGTCGAATATTCGTAATCGACATTTTATGCAAAGAGATGTTTCACTTTTAATTGAAGATATATGGAAACAAGTTCAGTTTTTGTTCATAAATGTATTAGAAATTCGATAATTATTTTAATTTATTATAGAAGATAGAATATGATTCTGAAGAAGATTCTACAACAACTTCAAAACAAAATATTAAAATATCTCTTGTTGATTTTGTACATGTTTATTTAAAGCAACGTTTTCCTGATGATGAACTATTACAATTAGAATGGGGATATAATCTAGTAGCAGGTTGTCGGCGATTTAAATCATCTCCTGATATAAGCGATTTTTGGAGTGTACTTTTAGGACAAGTTGGTATTTGTATTATAAATACAGTTAATAAATTTAAATATTTATTTAGACTGATGAAGAAGTTTATTATCAAAAACGTATCTCTTTGAATAATGAAAAACAAAATTCTTAAAAACAAGCGTGATTAGAAAATTTGGAAATTTCAACCAACTATTGGCAAAAAAACATTAGATAAAGATTTGATGTTGTGTATGTATGATGTAAAATAAAAGAGACTGTTCGAAATCAAATGTAAATCATAGTTATAAATAGAGGACAAACCTCAGAACTATTCAGCATCAATTTTGTATACAGATTGATACGACCAATAAGTAAAAATATACTTCATTTACCATAGGCTGATTGCTCAAGTACTTTAAACGTTGCAATTGTTGACAGAAATCCTGATTGTTCCAAAAGTCCAAACATAAAAAAAAATTCGTGAATAGTACATCAGTAATTCGCAAGATTTAAGTATCTTTTTTACAGTTTGATAATATATTTCAGATAAAATGTATGTAAAACACGCTAACTGAATCCTGTTTTAGAGCTATATCTCAGAGATTTTCTGAAACTGATACTGTGGAAAACTGATAACGTTCTAGAAGACTTACAATGGGTAGTGAAGATAAGGTCAATCAAGTTAAGGATGCTTGTGAATATGAGCAAGGCTTAAGTATTCGATTTAATGTATAAGCCTTGTTCATTACCACAAACAACAACATAAAGAATTATGACGAAACATATATTATTAAAGTACAGAATGTTTTGCCAAAGCAATGATGTTCAGTTGGCTTATTCGAGACTTCTTTAAATATAGACATTTTATCTGAAAGTTTATCTAAATATTTGATCAAGCTATACAAATAATATTTAAACATTTTGGATTGCTGAGGAGCTATCCATGTTTCTCTTTTCGTTAGCACTTTTGAAACACTCTGTAGAATCATACTTTCATAGAATATTTTGTATTTTACTGACAATTTAGAATATATCTTTAGTTGCTTGAAATTTTGTTTGCCTTTTTTATTACTCGAATACTCTTAGTATATATAAGGTTCGATGAGACATATGATTCAGATATAAATAAGACCTTCATGTATCAAATTGTAATAACTACGAAAAAAATGATAACTCAATAAATTAAATCTAGCATTTCGTAGCATAATATACAGCATATTTGTAGTTATTCATTGAATTAAAAGTTCGTAACTTTTTCGTTCTCATTATCGATTTCAAGAGTCGAATAAAACCAAATTGTTACTACATAAAAACTATTATCTGACAATAATCATGTCTGTATCCAAAGAGCTGAATCCAAGGTATCTTTTTACAATTTACACAATATCGAATCTAAAGTTTCGATATCGACTAGTTTTTATTTTTCTCTATGACAAACAGATGAAATTAGTGTGAATCAGAGCTGCCAGACTGGTCTGAGCTACCCACTTAAGAAACTGGAAACATTAGTCGGTCTGGTTTGTTCTGCAGGGTAGACCATGCCGGAAAAAAGTGGCCTGTTGACATCTTTGGTGTGAATTCACGGATATGCTTATAATCAGCGTTGTTAATAGAAATTCAAAATGTTTTAGTGCACTTTGCTTATTCCAGCAACATGTATATCAATTTTCTTTTTAATCATAAGTAGAGTATATCAAAATATACAACAACGAAGTTTTTCAAATAAGGTACTCATGTCATGGGAATTGTGATGATTTTGGTTATTATCAAAAAAGTCAGCGTAAAATCATCATTATGGCACAAGAAACGATTCTTCGAGAGTCAACCATAATTCAGATTGATAGATCGAATTTAATCACTAATTTCAGGTTATTGATTGCGAATCACCAATCAATTCGAGCAATATTTCAAATCTGTAATATTGAGAATCAAATATAATTTCGACACATTTGTTAATATAGTTATAGGAATTTGTAACCAAAAGAAAAAATTTAGTTTCGTCATGATTCTAATAAACGATCGCACTGAACTTCGCATTCATATTCATTTACATCGAAAGATACCCTTGATAATGTATAAAATTTCAGACATGTTTTGAGACCAACTAATCTTTCAATTTTTTGATTCAGCTTTAGACGAGCCGAACAATCCTATATTAAAATAATATTGAAAAACATTTTTATTTCTTCTTTAACAGGACTTCTTCTATTGTCATCCTTTTAGTCCTGATTTTTTAATTACGATTTCTACTCAGTGACAGATTTAGAGTGAACGGTGCTTCCCCTTCCAAAAGATTTTTCTCGATTTTTCGTAACAAAAAAGGTTCAAAAATCGTTTAAAAAAGGTTTTATGATCATGATCGTTCCCTATCGCAGTCGATACTCTCTATGATAAATATCTTAGATCCCCTACTGTTTCTACTCCTTCGTCTGTTTTAAGTATTTAATTTATTAATAAAAAAATGAATATGTGAAAGTAACTTCACAGAAAAAAATCCGATTCAAGTCATCATTTGTGAATATATGAACGTTTTTATTCTTTCTTTTTTGACTGTTCTTATTTAACTCTGGATGAAGGATAATAATTGAACATAAAGCATGACTTATCACAAAAATCGTCAGAATAATCTAAAAAAAAAATCAACGATTCGTCGCGTTTCAGCTCACGATTATCTTTTCGATATATCACAATTAATGGTCAATTTATTAGCAATTTCGAGGACATCAGTATTAGATGATAACGAAGAAAAAGTCAGCTCTTTTCATTTGACAAAAGAAAGTACTCATAGACTTCAGAAGAACATGATATGCGGAAAAAGACACATTTTTTTTTTGTGCTGACAAAAATGAAGTGTCATTGGAGAATAGAAGAAAAACGTAAACTATACTTAAATAATTTCTTTTAAAAGTCTGTTTAGGAAAAAAAAGTGTTATTTTATTTAATGATGTTTACCACATCTAATCTGCTTTCTCAGCAAAGTATGAAGTACCATGTATAGCGAAAGAAACATCTTACTTCTTTTCACTTGGTACTTTCGACATTAGATATACTGCTGATTTTATTAATATTTAGCGCCCTCTTATGTTCAATAAATATTCAAATCTGATTGGTTCGGATAACATTCTGCTATAGAATAAAAGGCTTTCACATTGTCATATAGCATTTTTAATGAAACTTATTTCTTTTAAACAAACGAGATAAAATTCTCGTTAAAAATGTCTCGATTTAATCAACAATCAACGTAAGTTTTTATTTATTTGTTGAATATTTTTTGTCTTAAATTAATAATTTTGCTTTTCATCAAGAATTGATCCACGTAAACCACGCTGTCGTCAATGCGATACGATGACATCCGTTTATTGGCGTGTACCAGCTCGTGATATTCTTCTATGTAATAATTGTTTTTTAAATGATTCAAACAGTTCGAATCAATTTTGTAAATTAAAACGTATCGATACAAATATTGAAGATTTATCAACGTTTGAAAATCGTTTTCAGTTTTCAACACAAATAAATAAAGATGAACAATTAATATCATCATCATCATCAACTTCATCATCAATAATAACAAAATTTAAACGATCAAAAATCATTGAACCAATTAAATCTCAAATACCAATAAAAATTTCTACAAGACAACCATCATTTCGTTCAAATAGAAAAACTCTTGCATTTAAATCAAAAAAAGTAATAGAAAATAAATAAATAAATAAAACTCGAAAGTTTTCATTTTAGCCTGAAAAATGTTTATCTCAATCAACAACATTCAAACTATCAGATGTTTTATATTCGAAAGTAAAACTAAATCCGAAAGAAAAATCATTTAAATATAAATTTTTTTGTTTTTAATAGGGACGTCGTTTTGAAGTTGGTGATATTGTATATTTAATTGATGCGAATCTCTCATGTTTTTATGCTCAAATTCGTGCTTTATTTCAAGATGAACATGTAAATGCATTTGCTTTTCTAACATGGTTATTACCAACATCAATAAAAGCATCGACACATAATTTCCATTTTGATCCAAATGCTTATTCGATTGGTAAAAAAAAATTTCTTTTTATATTTAATAATTTAAAAATTGTTGTGTTAATGTTTTTTTCTTCTTTCTAAAGGACCTAATGAAGAGTATCCACGTTCATTAAATTCACTTTCATTTGTTTGTCATGCACCATCTGATTATTTTCAAGTTAAAACATATCCACAATCAATGACAACAGATAAGAAACGTTCATTTAATTATATTTGGACACAAGTTTATGATAACAATAATAATAATAGTAATGAATATGATCGTTCTTCAACACCAACAGCAATTAAACGACGACGATTTGTTTAAATTTCGTTCTATATTTTTTTTTGTCTTTCTCTCATTAAAAAAATATATATTGGTCAAATCTGTTTTTTTTTGTGTTTGTTGTTGTTTATAGAAAAAAAAGTGTATAATAGATGGGTTTTCTTATTGTAGAAAACCAAAATGACGAAAGAAAAGAAATTGCCATTAATTACTTCGAATTATATACCAACAAAAGAATTATTAAGTGAAGCTGGATATTTAGTTGATCGAGCGAAAAACTATGTTCGAGCTATTTTACATGATTCACTTCATATTCAACCATTGGAACGTGTTTATATATTATTTGATGAAGACGTTGAATTAACACGTATACTAACAGCTGCTTATGCAGCTATCGCTAATGAACATACAAATATTGAATTTACAAATTTTAACTATCATACAGCTGATGATATCTTAGCTCATTTAGCAACATTAAAAGCAAACGATTGTGTTATTCTTATTCAATCTCAACAATTTCGTTTAAATGAATATCGTATACGTCTTGAATTATTTAAACGAAATATAAAAACTATTGAACATCTTCATTTAAATATTATTAAACCTGAAGAATATAAAAATTATGTTGAATCATTGGCTTTTTCACCTGTTAAATATCGTGATCTTGCTTTACGTATTAAAGATAAATTAGATAAATGTCAGAGTCTTTTAGTAAGTTTTTTTTTTTATTCAAGAAAATGATCTAATCTATAGATCGTTCAATAGGTCGAATGCCATGATGGTAGTAAATGTGAATATACTGGTGGTATGAATGATTGTAAATTAAATATTGGTGATTATGAAGGTATGTCAGGTGTTGGTGGTACATATCCAATTGGGTACGATTCTATGTAATATCTTTTTGTTTGAATTTGTTTTTTAAATAAATTTAGAGAAGTATTTACTGAATCACGTGATTTATCGAAAGTAAATGGACAAATGTCTATTTGGGCATATCCATCATTATCTAAAACATTGGAAATACCACCCGAATCAATTGTATTAACGATCAAAAATGGTCTTATAGAATTTGATCCTGAGAATGGTATTTATCCAAAAAATTCAACTGAAACATTTAATCAATTATTAACACTTATTCGAGATGGTGAAGGTGAAATTTATGTTCGTGAATTTGGTTTAGGCTTAAATGAAGGTATTAATTTAGATTCTTTTTTTAAATTTCATTTTAAACTTAACTACATATTTTATTTAGGTATGGGTAAATCAGCATTAGTAACAGATATTTCTGCATTTGAACGTCATCATGGTATGCATATAAGTCTTGGAAAAAAGCATAATGTTTATAAAACAGGTGCTATTAAAGCAAAACAAACACGATTTCATATTGATGTTTTTATTGATCTTAAAAATATAATTATACTTGATGATAATACAAGTTTATTTGGTGATGGAAAATATCTCGTTTAGATCTTTGTTTTTTGTTTTACATAAAGAGAATTTACATTGTTAAAATCGATCATATGTTTTTTCATGATCGTTAAAACTAAATAAACATCGATGATATTGATGTGCAATAGTATATTTAAGTTCTTCTTTAATAAAATAGGAATATAAGAACAAATCTAATTTTTCATGTATTCTATAAAGTAATATTTGATTTCGTAGTTAATGTTTTATCAACTAGCGAGATATGTTTTACTACCAGAAGAATTATTTCTATAAAATTCTGATTTTGACTTTAATGAAATTTGTTTGAACGATTTTACAAACGAGTGTAGTTGGCATTATATTCTACGAAATTTTTTTTATGCAAAGCACGTTACGATGTTATACATGCGATCTTTTGTCACTCTGACATGTTGGGTTTTTTTTTCAAGATTAGTCATGATTGTTGGAATTTTCCCATCTTTTCTTACATTCCATTGTTATTGGTGGTTTTTTTTCTATTTCTTTCTTATGCATAAAATCTATTCTCTTCTTCCAAAAAATACATTGCTATCATGATTTAAAATAGTAGTATATCTATTTATGAAACATTGTTAAGAGATATAGTGATCTTGCTATAAACCAATAGAATATAAATTAGTCTTTAATATGTCAGAAGCAAAACGACAACAGTATTCTATTGGTGATGAATATTATGGAGAATTTAATAATGTTGGAGAACGATATGGTTATGGTGTATATAAATGGTCGAACGGTAGTATCTATTTTGGTCAATGGTTAAATAATGCATGTACAGGTGAAGGTATTTATCGAACCACGAATGGAGATATCTATCGTGGTCGATTTATTAATGGTCTACTTTATCATAAAGGATCACGTACATCATTTGATGGTCATCAGTATATTGGAGATTATTTATTTGGTCGAAGTGAAGGTCAAGGAACATATATCTGGCCAAATGGAGATGAATATGCTGGAACGTGGATAAATAATAATCGTACAGGTACAGGTGTATATACATGGGCAAATGGTGACCGATATGAAGGCGGATTTCTGTGTGGAGAATTACATGGAAATGGTATATTTTATTCTTCAGATGGAACAAAACTCGAAGGGCAATGGATACATGGAGAATGTGTTAAAAAACTTTTTTTTACTGTATAAATTCTATGCTATAGTAATTGCCATCATTTGTAATTAATAAAATATAATGTTATTTTATTAATGGTTTATAACTTATAATAGCGGTCAAAAGTCTAGAACTTGTTGTATTTTTAAGTTTTCTTCTCAATGGTAATAGCTAGTAAGAATCTGAATACATATTTCTGCAGCCGAAAAGATTCTCTATCAAAATTGATAGACCAGGAGACTTTAGCAAAACTGCTTGAATGAGGGTCTCCGGAAAAGCGAGATCTTTCAAAGCAGCTTTCTCGCTTCCGTTCAGTATTTTTTAGGAAAGATTTTATTTGATAGCAGAAAATGATACATCTGTTATCGCCATCTGATTTCCCTTCATCGAACTGCATTCAATTTATAGAAATTTCAAGAAGCATTTTTTCTCTTCTTTTTATTCGAACTTTCCATGTTTTTGTTATATTTGACACTTTGGATCCTTCTGTAAATTAAATGCAGCTCAATGAAGAAAAATCACAGAGAGCTCAGAAGTGTCTCGTTTTACTCTATTGAATAAAATCTTTTCTCAAAAGCTTCGAATGAAAGCCAAAAAAGCTGGTTTTGAAGGGAGATCGCGGTTTTTCGCAAATCCTCATTCTAGTGGTTTTGTTCGAATCTTCGAACTTGCCAATCCTAATCGAGAACCCTTTTAGCTACACAATTTTTTTTCGATTATTATTAGTCATTACTATCAAAAATAAAACTTAAAAATAAAACTGCGCTAAACTTTTGTTCTGCACTATACACGTAGATTGGTTTTTTTTTTTTTTTTAGATAAAAAAAGTTTTGTTATTCTTTCATTTCATCATACAAATAAAGACAATAACAAAAAATATTAAAACATGGCAAGACAATAAGAAAAAAAAACTCGCCTCAAATCTCATTTCTGCTTCTTATCAGACTAGTGTTTCTGGATTAGATACAGTATTTAAATTTTCATTATTATGAGTTCTAGTTGAATATATTTGTTCATTATGTTCACAATAACATGTACACTGTGGATGTTGTTGTCGACGAAGTGTAGCTGCTAATTGTTGATATGGACAATGACCATCTCTTATGGTTTCATAAATATGTTGAGAATCAAATAATGGTTGAGGAGGATAAAAAGTTTGTACGGGTGTACTAAAATGACAACGAATAGGTGCTGGTGGAAAATGAATCATTCGATTATAGGCAGTATTCGAAGAAGAAAATGTTGGTCGATATTGCATATAAATTGAATGATTATCAGATGATTTTTCTTTATGAAATGATCTTTGTAATGTCATGGATTCATTAAGATCTTCATATGGACCTGTTGCTGTTGTTGTGGATGTTGATGGTGTTGTATCTGAATGTTGTGGATTTGGTTGAAAAATATATCTTGTTGATAATGTTTGTTGTTTTTGTGTATCAAGTGATGTTAAAACTGGCGTTTCACCATATGTTATAGATGATGATGATGATGATGATGAACGTATTGCACAAAAAAATGGTCGATTTGTACAATCAGGTTTTGAATCTATAGTTCTTTTTGGTCGTCGTTGTCTCCAACAAAGTATAATTAAAATAAGATTTAATAATAAAAGAATAACAACAAAGACTATAGTTAATATAAGAATATATGAAAGTGTATGACGACGCTTATTATTATTATTATTATTATTATTATTCAAACGAGATGATTCAGTCAGAAGAATAGGGAAAGTTGATATTGAATAAGGGATCGCTGTTGTTGTTGTTGTTGTTGTTGTTATTGTTGTTGTAGAAGTCAATTCGATTAGATTATTACATGATACTTGTAATGGTTGTTCACTATTAATAGTTAACCAAAAACCTTTCCGTGTAATAACATCATTTGTTTTAAATGTTAATTGAAATGATGAATTAAAAAAAATTAATGATGATATTGAATTATTTTCATCAATAGTTGAACCACAATATGATCGATTATCGATTTGTAAATGATCGCGTGAACATATATTCATTTCATCACGTTCTTCAAGATAAAAATCAAGAAATTTTATATGAGATTTTTTTGTATTTATTTGACATGAACAATTTAATGAATTTTCATATTCATATGGATAATTTGGACTACGAAGAAATAAACGATGTTCTTTATTTATTGATGTTGATATTAAGCGATTATCACAAACAGATATACTTTGACCTTGTAAACATGAATAATCAAGTACCATGTAATCACTGTATTGACTACCTATTTCATATAACAAAAAAAAATTAAATATTTAATACGGCTGTCACATCGTTGTTAGACATATCAGGTATGTTATATCACTATAGCCTTTCACGAAGTTAACTAAAGTTTTTTGTCAAAAATTTAGTTTGAACATAGAAACTTTTTATGATTAGTAGATTTTGTTCTCTGATATTTACTGTACAAATTAATGCATATTGGAAGTTTCGATAATGTCTTAAAGGAAGAAACATCCAAGCATGAAACAAAGTCAGAATCAAAATCAATTCCATATTTCTTTCATGCCTGTAGGACGTTGATAAGATGTTCTTGGAACCTTCAATATGCATTAGTTTGTACAGTAAATATTATAGAATATAAAATAGTATTTAAAAAAACGTTGATATGTTAAAATTGAATTTTCGGCAACGGCTTTAGTTGAGTCCATGTACAGGATGTGAAATATGACTTACATATATGTAAATATTGTGGATTCAAATCTAGATCACAAGTCGTAAGTCCATTGCATTCCATTCCAATATATGTTGTTCTTGTTGTACAATCTCCTGGTTGATATGAACAAGTTGATTTTATTGCTAATGATGAAGTTTTATGTACACCAAATGTTAAATTTCTAACTAAAATATATCCATTATTAGCGCAAGATAATGTAACTGATGTTTTATCATTATTTATTCGTCGATTATTATTATTTATTGTACAACCACTAATAGTTTCTCCAGATATTTCTTTAATTTGCCATTGAAATAATAATAAAAAAATGTGTAAGAAAAATAAATGTAAAATCATGTTGTTTTTTTTTCTTTCAAAATCTAAAAATATAATATGCATGATAAAAAAATCCTTTAATATAATACGATAATTATTATTACAAATAAGATTTTCTCACGAACTTGTCATTGAAGTACGTGTTCTAGTGCATATTAAACATTTAATTGGAATTTGATCTTCTCTTTACTCTATAACAAAGAAGTAACTTTACCCTTCTTATTTCATATATTAAACACTTCACAACAAAAAAGGATCAGCTTATTTGGCTTCAGTTATCCTCCTCTGGCAACTGTTTTCTTGACTCCATAATAAAAACATAATTATGTAATAAAAAAACCATTTATGATTAGGATTCTTTTTTCTTTCTCGATGTATTATACATATGACACCACTAAAAAGTGTCTCTGGTTTATGTTCACTCACCTTGTGTTACAATACAATAGTATTTTTATCGATCCATATATGCATATATGTCTGTATATACACCACTCATTTATGAAGAGTATTGGCGAAAGTGGTTCGTCCCTCAAACCGATCCATCATATTTCATCGTATATGTCAACACTCCTACGATTCAGTAGTTGATCTCATATGTGTGCGTGAAGGTCGGCTAGATTCGACTGGAAATGGATAATTGCATATCTTGACTACTATCTCTCCTTCGTCTGTCCAACAGGAGTCTATAATTTGTGTGTGTAAGAATGTATTCTTTTATCCTTGTGTGTCTTCGTTCCTTCGTTTTCTTTTGGTTCTACTAACGTCGTTATCCATTAACTCTCGACTGTAGTTCCATTATAGCAAAAAAAAAAGATAAAACGAACTGCTGATTGACTCACAACGATTGTGTAGCTGACCCTGAAGCTGCAGCTGCTCGGTCAATCATTTTTTTATACTCATATCTATAATGTTATTCTTTGAGGCCATACCTTCTGAATAAGAGTATCAAGTAGCAAATAGTATTGTTCCACGAAGAGAGAAAAGAAAAAAATCTATAGCGTACCGCGTACTCCCAAGACAAATCAATGAAAAGTGAGAGATAATAAAAATGAAAACAGTGTTCAATACTACAAACAATAGAATGCTATCGACCTTTATTCAAAGTATACATATATATATATATATATTTATGTACAAACACGTGAACATTACTACTTGAGACGACGTTTAGTATTTATGGACAATAACATAAGAGAATGACAAATGATAAATGACCATTGAAATAGAGGAGGGAAATAAAAGAGAATGTGTGTGTCTTTCTCTCTCGTTCTCTCTCTCGTCGACAATTGACTATCAGACCGAACCAAATGGAATTATGCAATCATTCTCTTTTTTTCTTTACTAACGAACAGGTGGTCAAGACGAAAGATGAATTAGCCATATGTATAACACCTCTTTTTATTAAGTACCGTTTCATATTTTATTTTCTCGCTCTCACTAAACACAAAAATCAAATATACGCATTCTCATTTTTAATATATATATATATATAAAGATGTGGCATAGTGGCACCAACAGTACACATTGCAGAAAAGCATTAAATGTGTATGATGACACCAATGTGTGGAAAAGATCACAGACAGATGAGAAACAGCTTTGATAAATCATTTCAAAGTATTCATCATGAGTAGATCATAAAAAAATAAGTGTTTGTGCGTTTGCTTTGAAAGTAAATAGAAATGTTTGCAAGATTCATTCTTAGCTGAATTATCACAAAGGATAATTTATGAGGTTTCTGTTTTTTTAATATCATTGTTTTCCTGTACTTTTCCTCTTGTCATCTTTTTTCTTTTCTCATGCAAAATAAACATATCATAGAGAAAATTATAAGTATTTTTCCAGGAGCATTTTTCTCATTGTTTTCTTTTCAATAACTTCATTTTTTAACGAATCGACAATATCTATCATTGTTACCCTCCGGTCTTTTCATGTCCCAGCTGTGACTTTTTGTCAATAGGAAGATGATGTTCATCATCATCGTCAACATGCGCCTTCTACTTACCTTCACGACATGTCGTTTGACTTTGTTCGTATATACTGCTGTGATGATTGGGACTGTTACACTCTCTTTCTTCTCTACTATTTTCATTTCATTACACTTCTCAAAATTGACCATTGAAAGAGAGAAAGAAGAGAAAAAGAAAATGAATGACCGAAAGAGTAAAGAATGCCAATCAAGTAAAAAAAAAAGATATATATGATGTGGGACTTTCGCTTGCGTGTATAAAAAGAAAGAAAGACAGAAAGAGAGAGAGACAGAAAGTTTATTTGGACAGACAATGTCGTCTCGCGTGAAATATGATCAATTTTCAAACAACATATATACGGGATAGACGCTTATCTTTATGCATACATAAAGGTGATGTTCAATCATACGATTCAACAGTGGCATCCGTGATTGAGAGCAATTTCTCATTTTTCTTTTTCTTTTATACAGTTATATCGGATAGAGAGAGAAGAAAAATAGTTTGCTTACTCGCCTTTGACTAATACTACTACTTACTTACTTAGTTCGTCTGATCTTTATCTAGTCGACTCTATTGCATGAACACCAGCTGACGTCATTCCGTCGTTTTTCGCTTGAATGCATATCTCTTTTTTTTTGTTTTTGTTTTGTCAATGAATAAAAAAAAAGTAAAAAAAGAGATCAAGTTAATCAACAATGCGAAAGTTATTGATTAAAACACCATCATTTCCTGTATTGAATACGTCGGTAACTAACCTTGAGGCGATGCATGAGTATATGTGAATGTCCATCTGTGTATTCGTAGAGAAGAGAAAGAGAGAGGAAAAAGAAAGGAAGCTGTTTGCTTCATGCTCATTTTTTTTCTTTCTTTCGTTTGAAAGTGTGATGTTATTTAGGCTTCAAATGACCTTTATTCATTGTCTTCACGAATATGAATGCACACATTTTCAAGTGGTGTTGGGGACAATCAATCGGAAATTGTGCTGTGTGATGATCGATGATCTGAGCGTGTGTATGCGGGCAAGCGAAAGGTGCTTCATTAACACATTCATATATATACATACTTGACACGTTTGATATCAAAAAATAATTTGAATAATGGTAAATTTGCATTTAAAACTGACTAACGATGATGAGCATCACAAAGAAGAAAATGTCTTTTCTAATTCAATAAGCGCATGCACTCCGCCCGCTTTTGACCAAAATGATGATTGATAAAACGGGACAGAAACAGCAGGCATAGTAATTATTCTATTGAATAAAATTGCTAACTAGTCCACTCAATAGCGACAACTGACTGATTTTGCTCAATTAGTGAAGCTGTTACTAGCGATTAACATTGGCAATATTTCGTTCGATACTTAAGTGGAATTGAGAAGGAGACGACATTGCCACAGCTTTTTCTTCCAATAGTACACTCAAAACTTTCTCGAAAGATAAGATCTAATAGTTATGGCGTAATCATTACAACTCGTAATTTCCGCTCAACTACTCCTATACCCTCAAGCTATCGGACATGACAACAGGCTACCATATATAACAAGTGAAAGTCGAGATATATGAGTTTGGCCATGCACTTATTCTTTTCTATTCTTCTACCATTTAATTCGATTTGCATATTTGAGACATATACATCTACATCATGTTCTTTCTCCTTTTGGGCTGATTGAACAAAATCATAGTAGCTAGTCAGTCAGTCAGTTAGTCGGTCTCATAAGCCAGAAGCAAAAGATCAATATTTATTTTATATTGTACGTATGTGATCATTTGTTTGAAGTAATACCGAAGCTAATTTCCGTTGCTCGGACTTACCCATCAGTCAGTCAGGTGTCTCATTGCTATTCCAATAATAGTTCGCAATAGGTCATATTGGTAGGATGATAAGAAAATAGAACATACACATATGTACTTACAAATTGAAGACGAATAACAATATTACGAGAATGATGACGATTGTGTGAACAGAAGCATAAAGAAACAAAGTGAAATGCAGTATTCCCACGAGTAGCAAGCTTTGCGTATGTGTGTGTTAATGCGATAATCGTGTTGCATGTGTTCTGTAGAATAAGAAAAAGCAACAGTATGATCGATCACTAGACTGCCGAAAAACGAGAATTTGATTAAGTGAGAACGAGCGAGGCGAAAGATGGATCGTTTCAAGGCACGAGCAATGAGTACCTTATTTTGCAACTACTAAATAGATTTAACGATCGATAATAAGACAAAAAAAAATGAATGACTAGCAACGATGCGTACTCAGATTCTATCATGGAAATTCGATGGATCATCTTATTTTCTTTTTCTTTGAACATTTTTTTTCGGATAAAATTACTTTCTTTTATTTATTGATCTTATTTTCTTATAAAATATTCATATTTCATCAAAAGAGACATGTTTAGTAATATATATTGGCAAGTCTATATTCATCAAATGCTTTTTATTTTGATTGCTGGTGATAGATGAGAGAATAAGTAGTGAGTAAGTCATTTGTTATTACTATAGATTTTATTTTAACTAAAAATAATTGAATCTTTTACGCGTATATTTCATAATTATGAGTACATATAAAATTGGTAGAATAAATAAATAACATTGTGTCAATAATATAAGATAGGAATACGAAAAATGAATTGAAATTTAACAAATATATTTTTCATCGCAGATGATTGATTTTATTTAAGCATAGAAAAGTCTCATTGGAATGATATTGTCGCCATCGCATGTATCATGCAGCTGTAAGTCAATAAAGTTCATGAAAAATTATTAATGAAGTATTTTTGTGCACATATTACTGTTAAAGCAAATCAATAATTGAGCAAACTTTATAAATGTATAGTAGTAGGTTACAATGGCAATGTTATAGCCTGCACCATGATGATTAAATAATAATGATTGTTTTCTAGCCGAACAACGTGTTATCGATCAGATATATTGCATGTCGCATTCATCACGAGCAAACTTTAGATAAACAATACTACATATTTCACATGTAAAATGCTGAATATTCACTTTTTTTTCTAACTGGAACTTCATATTATTTGAATGCAGGATTCATTCCACCATTCACTATTATAAACAGCTAATCTGAAAATATTTATTAAATAACACAATCATGTAATAGAAAGCCATTAAAGGCAGTATATATTTATTTAAACAATTTATTAAAAAAATGAATATATCAATATTTTCAATTGTTAATCATAACCATAATTTCCTCAAAAGCTACGATATGAATACATACCACCGTGTCATCCTGGAAAGCTTCCTACGAAGCGTCTATGATAGAAAACTTTTATTTATAATATGAATGAGTATAAACGAAAAAACTATCTGTCTTTTTATGCTCAACAAGGTCGTGTAATTTCGTTGTTGTTAGTTAGATATTGATAGTTTGAGAAAGTCCTTAGAAATAAGTATTTGCTGAATAGGAACGTAACTGTTTCACTCATAGTTTTTTTTTGTGGTCACAAAAAAAACAATTAGCTATTGGAATTAATCATATTGATCATAAATGATAATGCACTTAAAAAATAAGCAAATGTATACATTATTGTGAAGTTTATGAAACTAGCTTATATATACAACTATGATTTTCTTATTCAGTTGATCTTGCACACAAAAAGTTAAGTTTTTCAAATTCATAATAAACAATAAGTTTATTAAGCTTAATATTTCATTCAATATATAAATATATAAAACAAACTAACCAATATAATATCAAATGCACTTATTATAATACAAAAAGAAAAGAGAAAAATAAATATTTTTGTTTTTTTTAATATCTAAACGAAGCCAAAAGAGAATAGTTTTTCGCATAAAATTATGGCGAATTTGAAAAATCATCATGAATTTTATAGGATCGTCGACGCTTTGGCTGTTTCTCATTATTATTACTTCGTTCTCGTCGATTAAGATCATATTGTTTATTTACAAGTCGATTTGATACATCTTCTAATACTTTAAGACGTTGTTCAATATTTTTAGTCGATTTCAATTCGAATTTTGATTTAAGCTCAGCATTTTCATTTTTTAATATAAATACTTCAGCTTCAAGTCGTTCAATTTTATTTTGAGAATGACTTGGTTGTTCTAAAAATAAACATTTGTCATTTGTCAATCATAAAATCAATTCTTTTACCTCGAAGTTGTTTCGTTAAATATTCAATATGACTAATTAATTTATGAACAACTGGATCTCTTACAGATAAAATTGGTTTTGTTGTTAATGGAGCTGATGACTGATCCCAACGAGATTTTTTATTTACTTTTTCAATGATTCGTTCGAATACAAGTGGTACATCATCGATTATAAACATAGTTGAAGGCATAAGAATAATTTGATCAACATAATCATAATGTGAAAAAGAAACCAATGCATTATTTTCATTGATTATGTCTAATTTATTAATGTAAGGTAGATAATCTCGAAAACAATAGCGCAAAGCTACTTCAGTTAACACACTATTTGAATAAGGTGATGTTGTTAATTTTATATATAAAGTGCAAGAATCAAAATGCCAATTATTTTGATCTAAACGAAAACGACGTAATCGAACAACACTTTGGCCAATTATACATGTACGATAATTAACAAGATGATCAACAATAAGATAACTGATGAAATAAATGATGACTGAACTTGATTCTGGAAATGTTTCAATCCATTCAACTGGACCATATGATGAGAAAAATGTACGCAAATCATCGATACTTGTTTGTTTAATATCTAGATCAAGTACTAATAATTTACATCGATTGTTGTTGATTGATGACGTCATTTGAACAACTGCTGAACGAAAGAATAGAATTAATTTTGAAACAATCAAAGGAAACCAATGTAGTTATACAAAATAAAAGCGAATGACGAGAAAGAAAAGTTCAAACTTGACTAGTCTTGCATGACTCCATAAAGAATACTATCTAGAATAAAATACTCTCTCCTTCTAAATCTTAAACTTGCTCAAAATTTACTTTATTTTTAGGTTAACGATTATAAATATTTGCGATAGATGGCACTGCAGTACTTGATTCATTCAAAATTCCATTTTGAAATATAGTTACTAGTGAGAGAATTGTCTCGATTGACATAACATAATACTTTTTTACTAATTCTCCATACACCGTTGACATATAATTGCAACCTCATGGAGACATCAAATGACCAATGCTGAGCTGTAACAGATTCTTATTCAGTTTACATATACTCCTAGACAAAAATATGTCTAGTAATGTTCAAGCATCTTTACGAACAAAACTACTAGTTCAACAAACATTCCTTTCATCTACTAAAATTCCTAAATGATTCGATTCTTTATCTAGCAATGATTCATTTTTAAAAAAAGTATTATAATCATAGAAAAAAAAATGTCTTCATTGTTTTCCAACTACTAGATTTATTTCTATTTCAACTTATATACAGAAATTCAGTTTCAACTGTTACAAGGCATCGATAAACCATATTTGTGAAAATGTCTTATATCAAATCAGTAGAATATGTTATATACAATGCAAGTCATCGATTAGTATTACCACTACGTTTACTCATCATCATAAATAACTATTTGTTTTAGTAAGCAAAAACGTTAATCATGTATGAAATAAATATCTTTATGATTAATAGGTAAACTAGGCAGTTACTTTTTAAATAAACAATATCCAAAGTTTATTAAAAACATATTTCATTGTATTTAATCCATCACAATAGCATAAATTTTCTTATGATAATCTTTTACTGAGTGATTAATTCACGCGATTATCTTTACAACAAACAAATGTAAAAACAAAAAGAATAAACGAAATAGAAAAAATCAAGTTTCTATCCGTTTGTGATAAATGTAGGAATACTAATTCCAAATCATTCTCATTCTCATTATTATAAAACTCAACAAGAATCATATGAAGATAATCAAAACCCGTTTCATTAAACGTCTAAAGAATAATATATTAATATTTCTTTTCTTTATTCTTATAATGTCAACAACAAGAGGCAGAACAAAGAAAAACGAAATCATGTTTTGTTTTCTTTTGTTTTTCTCTATATTTAGTTTCTAAATCAAAAAATGCACTTGTGACATATACGCTACTTTTGTTTTAAATATTATGTTGTACTAATTGTAGATCAGTATCATATGCATGATTATATGCTAATGGTATACCAAGTATATTTTCTTCGGATAAAAAAGTCAAACTTGTTAATCTAGTTGGATATTTAAAATTCAACAGAAAACTAGATTATTTCATAGTCAAATAAAAAAAAAGGTTTTTTAGCATTATCAGGAAATATATTTTCGATTTATTTTTCTTTTGAATTTGTAGGTTTGAATCGAATAGTGTATTACAATTCGACCTGCGTAAAAAACAGGAGTTGTGATAAATACGACCAACTATAATAAAAATCTCCAATTGACTCAATAAGTATACTTTTGTTTGTGTGCAACATAATGAATACAAAGTGTTTGATATTTCAAATATAATTCACATGTTGCAATTAGAAATTCACTATTTATTTTATGTAAATCCCAAGTCAATAGTCTAAGTATAGTTGTCGTGTCATGATCACACTGATCATGTAGTTTGATATCAAAAAAATTCATGAGCGGTTATTGATGAAATATATAAATGAAGCTATGACTATGAATACAAACAAACAATGAAGCAAACCTTACAGATGTAGAGCACAATTTACAATGATAGTATTTTACTTTCTACTATAAAACCTAAATAAAAATGATTTTCTTAGACATGACCCGTATAGGTCATTGAACAAATATAGAGACTGAATATTTCTCAAGAATAAACTTGAGATATAGAAGGCTATCAATCGCACATGTGAAATACCAGATAAAGCTTTTGAATGCAAAAGAAGACAAGAAAACTCATATTGTGTCAGATAATTCACAATTTATAGAGGGATCTGCATGATGTCGCTGAAAAAAGTTATATTTTGTTTGATAACCTGAAGGATAGTTCGTAATTTTAATATTATTTTGTCAAATTTATTGTCAGGAGCACAATAAAATATCAAAATAATGCTAATAATTTCATTTTATAGATTTTATATTAAAATTCGACATTTCGATCATCTAAGTGATCAGTTACAAGAACATGTTTCTTGTTTATATTTGTCTGCTGGTTCCTTTACGAGACACAGTATGATATTGGGAAGTGTTTCGATTAATTAGTAAAATTATAGCTGGAAGTCTTTTTTCGTGCTGTTTTCCTTTTCTGCTCGTTGTGTTCTTTGTGCTCGTCGGTATATGTACAAGAGGGTGCATTCTTTCGTTTGTTAATGAAATAATATGTGATGGTTAGGAAGTATTATATCAAATGGCCATATGAATGTGTTTTTTAGTTGTTTCTGTTGACAACGTTTATCTTATCTTTTTCTTCTGTGTTACTGCTGATGTAAATTATCATGAGTACCTTCTTTACATACATTCTTGGTGGTTTCGTGTTGTTTTTTTTGTTGAAACGTCAGGTAAACATTTTTGTTGTTACTTTTTGAATAGATGTGCTCGGTTTATTTCTGGTGGATATAGTTTTAATGTGAACCATCTGGATCAGATACTAAGTTGCAGGATAAATCTTCTGGAAATGCAACCATTGGTACGGAAAGTGTGGTGATATTAAGTGTTGTTTCAGAAGCTTAAATTATCAAGGATTCTTTTATTAGTAATTTGTAAGGATTATCATCTTACTAGACCACATTAAAACCTTTCCAGTTCATATGATGACCAGTTCGAAATATAGATGCATTAGAACTTATTGTGATGTTGTCATTATTACTTTTTTTTTCTTAATGTCTATTGTTCGATCCCTGATGGTGATGTTAGTGGTAGTCGGTGTTACTTGTTATTTAGGAATACAAGCAGAGCGGCTCGAAACTTTCTTATTAGGATAGGGCACCAATCCAACTCTTAAAATTTTCTTCACTATTGGATATTTTGTTTGAATCGTTCCTGCAGCACCGTATTTAACATCGTCAATATCTTGATGATTACTATTGCTTCTGTGGTCGAGACAATGTGAATGCTTATCTTCAAACAGCGATTTAGGTGCACCATATTTCGATATTCGTCTTGTCTCTTGTTTTTTTGTTTTGCCCAACTATATATCTCCACAATTGCTATACTTAACGGAACAAATTATGTCGGATCGCAAGTGTTTTGGTACTGGGTCTTTTTTGTGTTAAAAAATTTTTGAACCAATGGAGGCGGCTTAGCAAAAAAATGAACATCAAGAGCAGTATGTAGTTTTCCAGAAATTTGAGGTAATTTCTTCTTCAGTGAATGGGCAGCATTGCTAATATAAGGTATTTCAATGTACATTCTTTGTTTCTTGTATCGAATAGCTGTAATACCAAGTATTGCCGATTTTTTTCAAATAGCTACTTAATTCTATACCTATTCGAATATTAATGAATGATATCGAGTAACCATTTTTTAGACCAATTTTACGAATGTTATCGAACTCAATAGCTAAGTACGAGTATGTTGAACATGTGGCTAGGGATCTTTGTACCATACTAGCAATACTAGCCTTTTTATATTCTATAGAAATAAATGAATCTCATTTTATTATCAATCTGGTAAATGTATCTTTTCGATAGAGAATTGTTTCAAATTTATTGTTTTGAGTTGATCGGGTAACACACACATCGAGAAAAGAAAGAGACTGATTGTATTCAACTTGATAGACAAATGAAAATTAGTGAGAATGTTGAGCATGTTTTATATTCTGGTAGTAGCGTCGATAAGTACGAATGTGTCGTTGACATATAGATACTACTGACCAACATTCATGCGCACCAAATGGCCTATCAAAGTCTCCTCCAGATGTGACATAAAAATATCGGCAATAATAGGAGTAACAAGAGCAGCCGTTGCAGCGTCATTGTGTTGAACATACATTTTTTTGTTAAAGACAAAATGGGTTTTAGATGCAGCTATTCGTAGAAGCTTCTCAAATCCAGCGTTTTCTTACATTTCACACAAAAACGACTTCTTTGCTTATATTGACATATCGAAGAACACGTAGGAGACATCTTGCCAAGTATTAAACCTATAGTATAGATAAGTGGAGCGTCAGGAAAGAGGCTCTTAACATCAAAAGACACCATTGTTCTATCCACAAGTTTTGATGCTCTGCTCTTCTTAACAAAAATTAAATGAATCTTTAACCGTTTACAGGCTGGTACGAAGTTGATTCAATCGATTAGTCAACATTTTCTCCAGTCCATAGGCTACTGTCTTTATAACTGATATTACAGGTCGAAGAGGATAGTTTTTCTTTTTTGTAATATAGGAAGATCTTCTATTTGAGTTGGTCTCGATTCATTATGGTGTACCAAATTGTATTCGTTATCACTTATAAAATCTTCCTTTGTCTAACAATGGAAGGGTGTGACCTGTTGAGCGAAAACCTTAGACATATTCGGGTCAAAAGAAAGCTTTCAACGAGAAACTAACAAATTTTAAATATGAGCTGCGTATGGCGTTCCTAGACAAAGATCCTTGAATCTCAAGGTCTGTGTAATTTAGGTATAAAAATGAATCAGGAAAGGTTTTCTCCACCATTATAAGGACAGAATATAGCATTGTTCGGGCCGATTATGGGGTTTGTAGGGACTCTCTTTCATATGGCCCGAACAACACCATGTTTTGTCCTTATAATAGTAGAGTGAACTTTTTGGTGGTTGATAGAAAACTTTGTTTT